TAAGGTTATTTTAGGTAGTTCATATTTTTACAAAAACACTCGTCCTTTTAGAGTAGTATAGATATTTGTCGTTTTGAGAAGCAACACGTTAATTAGGAATTTTTTTTCCTTGACGATATTAAATCTATTTAATGGATATTATGGGAAACAATGAAGATGAGATATGAAGAGACACTGTGCATTAGATGGATGATTAAAATTCGAAAAATATAAGCAAAATAGCCAAAACAACATTTATTTAATCAATGATCAATTAAGCTAAAATGACAAATAATAAAAATAGGAGGGAGTACTATACTAATACGAAACTAACATTTCTGCTAAATGAATAATTACGCCCTGATTCAATATTTATTTATAGAACAGTTTATTAAATCCGATTTTACTTCTTTTTTTTTTTGCCAATCAATCCGATTTTTTTTTTGTTGTTTCAAAGTTTGTTTATATTTATATTTTTATTTTATTAATATGTTTGAAAGAGAATCAATAAAAGTCTATCATAGCTTTTATTTTAAATAGAAATTTGAATTTTCATACTTTTTACTTTATATGAAATTCAAAATTACATATTTTAATGTATTAATAAATATTTATTATTTATTTTTGTCCTTATGTGATATAATCTAAATTTGGTTATTAGATTTTTAAATTCAAACATTTAAAGGAAAAGATTACAAGCAGATTTTTTGGGTACATTTCATTTTATCTTAACTTCAATATAATCACATTCCTAATAAACTAATTAATACAATTACAATTATCTAACTAGAATTTTGAAAATATAATTAATATAATATTTTAATTAATTAATCTTTTGTCTAACCTAATTTATCTTATTAACAAACTTGCCAAAATTTATGAAATAAAAATAGTAAGATTATTCTTACGGGTATACTTACCCGAATATTAAACACTTTAAATTTTTTTTGAAACAAATTTGAATTATTCCTTCTTCTACTCTATTTGAAATTCAAAATTAAAATTTTAAACAAATTCATAAATATTATTATTTATTTTTCCTTATGTGATATAATGTAAATTTGGTTATTAGATTTTTAAATTCAAACATTTAAAGAAAAAGTCCACGAACAGATATTTTGGTTACATTTCATTTTATATTAACTTCCATATAATCACAATTCTAATAAACTAATTAGTATAATATTTTTTTACCCACATTTATATAATCAGTTTTCTTAAAATGTAATTAATATTATATTTTAACTATTTAATCAATTTTACAACTTGATTTAACTCATTAACAAACTTGCCAATTTTTTTGAAATTAAAAAAAAAAATTGGATGATTATTATTTGTAAAATAATAAAAAATAGTTTTACTTTAAAGTCTGGATTATTTTCATTATTTTTGTATGTTAACAATCATATATTGGATAATTGATTTAAAAAAATTAAAATCATAAGGTTTAATAATATTCCTTAAATAAAAAATTTGTATAAAAAGAAGTGTTTAATAATATATATTTTTCATTGTTTGTATTTATTTTATTTTCATAATAGACGATATGTGAAAAATATAAATAATTATATTTAAAATAAAGTCAAAAAAATGTTTAAAATATGAGCTCCTCCGTGCATCGCACATGATATACACTAGTTAACATTGTAAAATGATTGACAAAAGAAATATAAATACATATATCATATTTAGTTTTAAACACAGCTTTGTAACTAAAACATCTTATATAACGAGAAAGGATTGCTCAGTTGGTTGTACTCTTCAATTTAGACCAATAAATTTCGAGTTGGAGTCACGTAAGAGGTAAGTGGAGAACCACTATTGATTCGAAAAAAAAAGAACTTTATTTATGATGAATAGAGACTGCATAGAATAAGTTCATTTAAAAAAAAAAAAATTGAACGGTTGTATATAATCGATTAATTTAATTATTTACATTTTAAGGGACTAATTTATTCTTTGGCTGCATTAAATAAATCCATATTATGCGATGCATGCCTCATTGCCAAACTAACCGAACTTTTCATATATATTTTCTGTTTTCATAATCATACTGTGAATGTCTCCAAATTTTATTATAATTAAAAGGTCGTTGAACTGTAACCACTCACTGGTTTATTATTCTTATTTTGACTAAAATTTCGAAGTTGGTTTTAATCAATCAGTATCAGTAATGATTTTAATGGTTTTATGAGACGTGCATTATTTTTATGAGGCATGCATTATTCTCCCAAGGAATAAAGTTAGAAAAGAGCATGAAGATAAAACTAACGCAAAATTGCATATTAATATACCACTTTTAATGTGTTTGCAATTTAATCACCACTTTTATAATTTAGCAATTAATACCACATTTATAATTGAAGCTGTAAATTATGATTCAATTTGCAAATATGGTAAATACGGTGTATTAAATTACTAAATTACAAATGTGGTAAATAAATTGCAAAACCATGAAATGTGGTGTATTCATCTAGCTGTAGTTAAATGTGTAATTGTTGTTGAGTTTGATTAGTTAGTAGCAAACGATAACCGAAAGGTTGTTGTTGGCGAAGCGTATGAATCTACTTCTTAGACTAGCCCATTTTTCTAGATTCCAACACTATTGTTGCATTAAATCTAGAGAGCGTGTTTTAGATTGTCCAACATTTAGGTTTAACCGAAGACTGTATTTCGGTTAAGTATACTATAAGAGAAAATTCAGATAGGAGAGCGTGTTGATACCTAGTGTTAGTAATTTCGGAAGATAGTGAAACTTGATGTTACAATTAGTTAAATTAATTGAGCGATAGATATATTGAACCGAGGACTAGAATTTTTTCTATATAGTTGTTTTAATTTTATTTACTTTTATTGTTATCTTATTCTTAGTTAGAATATATTTTATAATCCAATTCCCCCCTTTTTATCGTTTTTTATAATTTTGTTCATGTGTGATTTTACACCATATTTATATAGTATCTAGAGCTTATTCATTGCATTATTGGTGTATAAATTGCATTACTGTGCTATAATTCTATATCTTGTTTGAAAAGTATTACACGTGCTTGCTTTGTAGATATTTTCACATATTTGTAGAACTTGTGGCTGTTGGAGGCGCATGGTGAGTACCTAAGACCCCCGGGATGATGAAATATTGATGCACGAATGAAAAAAATGGAAGAAACGAGTGACATGGGCAGTGACACGGGCACCATGCCTGTGTAAGAGGCCGTGTCACCTCAACAGAGAGATTTCGAAGCCTAGGGACCTGACACGGGTTGCGACATGGATGGTGACACGGGCAGAATGGCCATGTCGCGCGCGCAGCTGGTTCTTATTTTTTGCCTATTTTGAAAAGGAGAAGGGTTTTGGATATTATAAAATGCATATTTACCCTATTTTGAGGGGAAAACGTGGGATACACATTAGAGGAGCCCTAGAACACACAAGAGAAGCAATTGAGAAGCACAAAGAAGATCAAATACGAAGGGATCAAGAAGATGGAAAGATCGACGAGATTCCTAGTTTTGCTTTCTTCTTCCTTTTGAACTTTTATTTATTATGTCGATTTCAAATATGTCTATGTATTTGAATTCGAACATGAGTGGCTAGATTATTTCATTCTAAGACTTGGTAGTAGATTAATATGTTGGGATTTTGGATGAATTATTCTAGTTGATCGTCTTCTTTTGAACCCTATTCAAATATTTTGTTCTTATTTCATGTTTAGCACTTGATCAATGTTTTTACATGTTTGACAATATTGTTCATAATTCGAGAGATGAGCTCAATATTAGGTCTTTAATATTTGACACAATTTACTTGCTTGAAACGAGAGATTAGTAGGTCGTTGTGAGAATATTAGATCTTTTAATCTATTTGGAGTTGAATTGCATGTGTTGAGTGGAGACGCTAATATGTGTGATTTAATCTACGGTTTTATTGATCTCGAGAGGGACGATAAGCTAAATTTGTGATCATCTTATAGGGTAGATAAAGGAAACATTTAGTTGTGATATTTTTGAAGGAATCCAACTATTAATTGAAACCAAAATCTTAGAATCTATCATTCTCATATATTTTCTTACGTGTTTTTTTAGCTAGTTCTTTATTTTTTTTGATTTATTATATTTTGATTATATTTTCTTAGTTTAGTTAATCCATCTTATATTCGATCGTCTAAATAAAGTTGACACTATCATAATCTGGTACTTGATATATTAATTATTTGGTCTCTTGGGATACGACCTTGCTTGCCACATACTACGAGTGAAGCCGTACACTTGCGGTCGAGCTTTAAAAATATAAGCGAACAAATTTCAATTGATACGAAAAGTTCATAATTTACACTACTCATGGAATCGACCATTACTTACCGCTATTACTATTTAGTTAAGATTTGTTGTGGAAAGAATATAAATTCTAATTTTTTGCATTGCGATGCCGGATAAGACAACATAAATAAATTCTCGGTAAACAAATATGTAATACTAGAATATACAATCATAAGCAAAAGCAAAGGCATCAAAATTGATAAAATGCAAAATTATACGTGCTCAATAAAATTTCTTGAACCCAAAAGAGATGGTTCAATTTGATGAGATTTCTAGAATAACTTTTTCTTTATATTTTTGTAAAAAAGTCTCCAAAAGTTTTATGATTTAAAAATCTCATAGAGTTACTTTTTTTTTTTTATTTGAATGTATGGCAATTTATAAAACTTATGAGAAATTTAAGTGAATACCATGTAACTTTTAAAGATTCTTAAATAAACCTTTACATGTATTAATTGAAAACATGTAGATTTTACAAAATTCCAAAAAAAAGAAAGAAAAAATAATAATTGAATATTTTAAAATTTTAAGCGCATAAAAAAATCTTATTTTTTATTTTTTATTTTACATCTCACTTGATATACCCTACGATCATCATCAAAATCGTCCATATATGTTGTGACACTTGTGGCAAATGGGTAAAATCTGAACTCACTTGATTATTATATTTAATTTTTATATAGTTTCTCACTCTTTACGTCCCACCCGCTCTCTCTATTTAGTTCCTCCATCTTTCTCCTCTGCAAAGCCAAGTTCTACTCATTTGCGCTACACTCTCAGTATTCCAAACTCTCTTCCTTCTCTAACCACCTAACATACCGAAATTACCCTCTCATATTCAGTTTTTCTCTCCCATGGCTGAAGGGAAACCTGCGAAATACCAGGCCTTTCCCCACCAAAACCATTTTGACCCGCCTCAAAAACCCAAAAGAAACAAATATGCTCTAGCTTGCTCTTTCCTAGCTTCAATGACCTCAATCCTTCTCGGATATGGTATTGTTTACTCAATTTCTCTTTATGATAATTAATTTAGCTATGTACGACTTTCAAGAATGTAGGGATGTATACTTTGTAACTAATTGTTAATTTTATGATAAATATATCAATTTTTAGGGAATATGACTACAGTCCCGTTACTGAATCATAGATTATCTACATTAAATTAATCTACATGTGTATTTAACTGTTAAAAACTCTGACATAATGATTCTGTAACGGGACTGTAGTCATTTCTCAATTTTTAATCATCTGCACAAAACGAAATCAAGCTAAACGCAACGACAACATGTGGATTTAGTGATGCACAAGCCACATTATTACACCTTGTACTAGTATTATTACTATTATATGTGGGTAATTGACTAATTAATGATGAACATATATATACAGACATAGGAGTTATGAGTGGTGCAATCATTTACATCCAACGGGACTTGGCCATGACAAATGTCCAGAAGGAGATCATAATGGGTATCATTAATGTCTACTCTCTACTCGGCTCTGCAGCAGCAGGCCGCACCTCAGACTGGATTGGCCGCCGCTACACTATTGTGTTTGCCGGTGCAATTTTCTTCTGTGGAGCCCTTCTTATGGGGTTCGCCACAAATTACGCCTTCCTCATGGTCGGTCGGTTTGTGGCCGGCATAGGGGTCGGATATGCTCTCATGATAGCCCCTGTCTACACTGCTGAGGTGGCTCCTGCTTCGTCCCGCGGATTTCTCACTTCTTTTCCTGAGGTCTTCATTAATATTGGTATGTATGTATAATATGGTACATTTGATTGTTTTTTATTTTTTATTTTTCACTTTCTTGGTTTTATTATTGATTTTGGTTTATTTTCTCTTAGATTTTAAGAAGAAATAAAGACAAAATTGCATTTTTAGTCTTACTAGTTTAACCTCATACCAATTATAACAAAATATTAAATCACATAACCAAAAAACAAAATGTTTGAAACTTGAAACAAAATGAATTTTTTCCATAAATAAATAAAAGTACAATGTTTTTTTAAATCATATTGGACGACATATTGTATTTTTTTTTCTTTATTTTGCAGCCTTGACTTACTTTGGACTAGTTTGTTATGCGAAAAAAAAAATATAAAAAAAAATTGACTGATAAAACAGTTAATGTTAAGTGAATAGACAGTTGCATAAAGAAATAGAGGATATGCATTAAAAAATTGGTCCTATTGAGTGAGTGCATTCATGTCACGAACTTCTTTAAGCACTGCCAACATTGGCCTTGAGAAAGTAAGCTAATTTACATAAACTGTTGAGCCGTGTAAATCCATTAAATTAACTAGGCGATGACAAAACATGCACAGTTCCTGTTCCCACTCGTACTCTAATCTATCGAAGCAGACAAACATTTAATTAATAAAAACTCATCTTCCTATTCATAACCAACACTTGTCCAATACACAGGTGTTTTACTCGGCTACGTCTCCAACTTCGGCTTTTCCAAGCTCCCGTCCCACATCGGTTGGCGACTCATGCTTGGCGTGGGCGCCATCCCTTCCATCTTCCTCGCAGTTGGCGTCCTAGCCATGCCCGAGTCCCCCCGCTGGCTCGTCATGCAGGGCCGCCTCGCCGACGCTAAGAAGGTCCTCGACCGCACTTCCGACTCCCCCCACGAGTCCGCCCTTCGCCTCGCCGACATCAAGGAAGCCGCCGGCATCCCCCAAGACTGCCACGACGACGTGGTAGCAGTCCCTGGCACCGGCACTGGCACTGGCACTGGCACTGGCGCTGGCAGAGTCTGGCGAGACCTTCTCCTGCGCCCGACCCCACCCGTGCGCCACATCCTCATATGCGCAGTCGGGATACACTTCTTCCAGCAGGCGAGCGGGATCGACTCGGTCGTCCTCTACAGCCCCGAGATCTTCGACAAGGCCGGGATCAGATCTGACACCGACAGACTCCTCGCCACCGTGGCAGTCGGCTTCTCCAAGACCGTCTTCATCCTCGTCGCCACTTTCCTGCTCGACAAGATCGGCCGCCGCCCGCTGCTGCTGTCGAGCGTCGCGGGGATGTTCGTGTCCCTGCTCTGCCTCGGCCTCGGTCTCACCGCGATCGACCGCGCCGCCGCGGACAACCACAACCTCACGTGGGCCGTCGCCCTCTGCGTCGCCGCGGTCCTCGCGTTCGTGGGCTTCTTCTCGGTCGGGATGGGGCCCATCACGTGGGTCTACAGCTCGGAGATCTTCCCACTGCAGCTACGCGCGCAGGGCTGCGGGATGGCGGTGGCGACTAACAGGGTGACGAGCGGGGTGATTTCGATGACGTTTATATCGTTGTATGGCGCGATTACGATCGGTGGGGCTTTTTTTATGTACGCGGGCGTCGTTGCTTTGGCGTGGGTGTTTTTTTATACGATGTACCCGGAGACGCAGGGAAAGACGCTGGAGGAGATGGAGGCGTTGTTCGGGAGTTACTGCAAGTGGAGGTCGACGCTCAGGGCGTTGAATGAGAAGAAGGATAATGCGAATAACGGGCAAGTCCAAATGGGTTGAGTTGTAGCTTTTGGCGGTTGTGTGAAGAAGTATTTGGTGAGGAAGGGATTATTATTATTATTATTATTATTATTACCCCTTTCGTATTTCATGAATATGTGTGTAATTTTGTAATAGGTTGTGAGGTTAAGGGATGAGACGGACATGTAGGAAGAGACCGTGGAGGGTGAAGAGAAAGAGAACTGTTGTAGGGTGGAATGGAAAGTAAATGTGATGACAAGTTTATGGAAAACTTATCAAATCCATGCTTTTTGTCAAGTTTAATGGCGAAATATGTGTAGATTATGAATGTTTGATGTTCAACAAAAAATATTACACTAGTTATTAAGAGTAGCTTTCTCCAGAGTTATGCACAAGGTCATCAAATCTGTTGATGGTGAGGAAATGCAACCTCTAATGTTAAATGCATGCGATAAAAAATCGATTATAATCATTTCGAGGGACTTCAGTATATCAATAACTAATCACGTAACTGTAAGTACCTATTTTTCAAGAGAGTTTAATTACTATCAAGATTGTCCTTCAGCTTCATGAAGACAAACTGAAAAAAGCGTTTAAAGTTCGAGAGATCTCCACCATTTATCCCACTTAGGACCACTAGAGCACTACTAGTTTGTTTGATTACACGTGTCACATCAAAATCAATGCCAAAATGTTCAAAAGTGAGGCCCCAAAATCTGCATAGCAATTATACAATCAGGAAAGGAAAGGATATCAGTCACATCCCATGTTTCATATGTCCATATAGTGGATGACATTTGGTTAATAATTGCAGTCCTAATTGCTAATGTTCAGTCTTTTTCTACGAGCTTGTGGAGCTGAAATGCCATTGCCAACGGCTCACTATCCTTTGGCTGTTTGTTAGAGGTTTTGATGAAAAAGGGTGTGGTCCTAAGTTATACTAAGGAAGAGAATTCAATGAACGTTCCTGAACTCAGAACTTTATAAACATATTTAGATACACATATATGTCGTACTCAATGAACCAGAAAGAGTCATCAGAAACTAACAAGTGGAAAAACAGGGTTTTACTTTTTCATACAGATATAAAGATATTGTAGGATTTTGCAGATACAAAATAATATATTTGTTATCACTCCCTCATACTAGGGAGATAATTTCTATATCAGAAACAACACAACAATATCTTGCGAGATTGCATGGCGTTTTCGGTAAAAATAAAGCATTCTTTCAGGATTAGCATATATAGGATCATACTGCAAAATTACATATATAGCCTATAGGAATTCTGCATTTATAAATCTGGTCAATGTATTTCAAACATAAGATCAGATGTCAATAAGTGCATTATATATAAAGGCTAAAAGAAATAAATAGAGGGGAAATCGAATACAGACTAAAATCTGGATAAATCACAGATAAGATTGTTATTTTGGAAAATTAAACATAACTACCAGTCCAAATTGTTTGAGAACTTTGTAATGTCCAGGAAGCCAGTAAATAAGAGAGATTGCTAGTAAATAAGTGTTGCTTTGTTCTAAATAACTTGGACATCCCACCAAATTAAAATGATAACCCAGTAAATTGACAAATACCAAGAATTAAGAACTAAATATATCAGCCACCCTACTTCTGTTTGTCCTTGATATGACTTCAGTTATGCCAACTCGACGCCATTACCGAATACCTTAAATGGCCCATTAAGTTACAAGATACTATTACCAAGATATTGTAGGATTTTGCAGGTATGAAAATATAAGCCACTACTCTTCCTATTATTGAGATATTTTCTACAGCAGAAATGGCAAAATAAAATCTTGCGATAATCAAAGAGGTTTTCGCATAAATATTTATAAGTGTGGGCATGTGGTCATACTGCAAAAGATTCTTATGTGATATACCTGTCTTGAATACTTGAAAACTTGATTATCTGAATATTACTTAGTAGTTCATCAGGAGAACTTGATTTATTCACGGTCGCCAATGCCAATTGAGCACATTGGTCTCCTTTATTTATTTATTTTTTATTTCCTGAAAAGTCAATCTTACATATAATCAACTGTAATTCAAATAGGACAAGAAAATTCCAGGCATCATAAAAACCTTGAAGTCATGGACTTGAACTTGAAGGTAGAATCAACAATATTTCTAAGCCCAAAAAAGAAAAAATAGTTGAAACAATCAAATGGTTACCACAAATGCATAAATAACTAAGCATGGAACATCTATGAATGAGATTTATTCACTCGACGATCATGTAACTGAATTTTCATGCCGAAGAGAATGGTGATTATATATTTAACCATTATGCCATAGCCTACAAACAGAATTTCCGAATTTACAAGTCTAATTAATTTACATAAGATTAGACGTGTGATGAAGCTAAAAGAGATAACAGCAAAGACAATCAGCAATTACTGGGGTAAAGTCTTGATAAGCCACAGACAGAGAAAGACAAAAAACACAAAATATAGTGAAATGTTTTAAACTTCAGGTTGAGAAGAAAGATAGTGAATTAGATACTTTAATTCAGAGACCTTAAACCTTGAAAGGTGCCATCTGCATAAATTTTTAATCCTAAGTATGTCCCCAAGTACTCGGACCAGGAAAACTTGCATGCTTGATGCATATGAAAATCACACAAGTATACTAACAATAATTTCAAATGAATTCCAACAGGTGAAGCCAGTCTTAGGTGCCCTCCATACGGGCAACAAATAGGGATTGAACTCAAATAGCTTCCGAAATTTCCTCAAAAAGTGTTANCCTCATTAAGCGTTTTTCAAGTATTGCTTAAAAATTAATCCCCTATAGCTATTTACTAGGCATTTTCTGAAGAATATCAGCAACAAGTCCAAAAATTGTCTACAGCCAGCATTCGACAACTTCAGTCTACATTTCATATCTTTTGTTGAGCTCCTATGTCAGAGAAAGTGCAGTTCTATCACATACAAAGAATACCACATGAAAAAACCACATAAAGGCACAAAAATGAAGAATTTTGCAGCCATATATGATGTATCACATGGGTGTAATGAGTAGGTCAGTAAAGATAAAATAGCATCAGACTATGCAAAGTTTCATCAAGCTGCATATGATTCACACCATTGACATATTGATTTAGAGAAGTTGAACATAATACCAGACATCTGGAAAATGACGATTCTCAGAGTTGCTAGCACGTACCACCCATATCCAATCTCATCAAATCTTTTCATCTGCAAAATCATCTCACAACTTTGTCGCAAATGAATACATATGTTGATAACCCAAGCAAACCAAACTTCGAAAAAGGGTTTGAAACCTCAATTTTGAAATTTCAAAACCGATGAATTGAAATTATTTGTCCTTTAGGAAAGGATATAGGCGAGGGATTCAAAATTTAGCGCTTTAACAGCCCTAGAAACAGAGTTCCTATTTCATTTTGAAAACTTGGGCCTGAAAACCACCACTTCTTGGGCCTAAAGGCTCACTAATGAAACCTTCATAAAATGGTCAAACGTTTATAATCCCAATGCAAATTTGTGTATAATTTTGAAAACTTTTATGGGAAATTTTTAATCATCCTACGTGAAATCAAATTAATTTCAAATTTATCATTAACAAACAAATAATTTGGAAGATACTTGATAGACCAACAATATTTACGTGAATGCCTAAAAGTCAGTTACCCAGTTGAACATCCTCCCTTCCATATCTGATTGACGTGATTTACGCGATGGTAACCGAAAAAAGAAACAGAACAATACCAAAAAACGATCCATCGGATTTTCCGTGATTTTTACGAGCTCACGATCCAAAATCACTGCACATATACTGAGAGTGGATCGATCAAATTTTTCACCCAAAATCGTTGCACATACAAGAAACGTGGATTTTCCGCCCATAGAATGGAGGTATGTTTTGGTGTTTTCCGTGATTTTAACTTTAATTAAAAACAGATTGAATATATGTATTTTGATAAACGTTAATTAACGTGTATGATGCTATCGTCGTCCAGGTATATTCCATGAGATTTTAACGTTTTTGTATTTTTGTATTTTAACGTTAATTCACGTGTATGATGCTATTATCTTCAAAGACCTGCGGCCTGCCAACTTGCTTGGAATATTAACGTTGATTAACGTTTATTTTGCCCTGCATATTTACAGTTCATGGAATATATGTATTTTTTTAACGTATTTTTTGTGATTTTAACGATTATTTTGCAAGAACAATTAATGGAATATATGTATTTTTTTTTTCTTTGTAGATGGATTCGAGCATGATGATTTTCATACATCATGGTGGTGAATGGATCATGAACGATTACGTGAATTACCGTCTTTCAGGTGTTTTGGTACGAAAAGATTGCAGCTTCGAAGAATTATGTGGTATATTGTGTGCTGAGTTCGGGGTGATGTCCCAATCATCTGTCATTGAACTGAAATATAAACTGAAGGAAGGTTGCCTACCAATGTCCATAAAAGACGACAAAAGCATGAGCTTCTATTTTTTCTTGAGGTCCAAAGAAGCTGACTACACGAAGTATCCGATATGCTTGGAGGTGAAGGCTCATAGTATTGCTGAAAATTCGTCGCAGAATGAAGTAAATACGAATTATATGAATACCGAGACAAATGTTGCACCATTGAGTTACCCAGGTCTTGACAGGTATCCTGATATCACAGATGGCTCGATAAATTTCATGTCTTTTGCGAGCAATGTAGCTGAGGAGATGATACAAGTTGCAGCATATACCGAGAATATGCTTAACATAAACCCTGATAGTGGTATGGGGTTGACATTCCAAAAAAATTTTGACTCTGGAATTTTTGCGGGTCGTTTGCTAAAGGATAAAACAGAGTTGCAGAAATTGTTGACCATGCATGCTATAAAGCATCAGTATCAATTCAAGGTGGAGAAGTCTTGCTCCAGGCATATAGCAAACTTTTACTATGTCATTTTTTTTCAGGCGTTTTCAATGGTATTATGATATTTAGTATATTTCAGTGATATTTAGTTATATATTCTGGCATATATACTGTGTCGTTTTTTCA